TTCAGAAGAGGATGTGGAACCAGGGACATCATTGCTGATGTCAGATGGATCCTGGCTGAAAGCAGAGAATACCAGAAAGATGTTTACCTGTGTTTTATTGACTATGCAAAGGCATTCGACTGTGTGGATCATACCAAATTATGGATAACGTTGCGAAGAATGGGAATTCCAGAACACTTATTTGTGCTCATGCGGAACCTGTACATAGACCAAGAGGCAGTTGTTCGAACAGAACAAGGGGATACCGCGTGGTTTAAGGTCAGGAAAGGAGGGGGTCACGGTTCTATCCTTTCACTATACTTACTCAATCTGTATGCTGAACAAATAATCCAAGAAGCTGGACTCTATGAAGAAGAAAGGGGCATCAAGATCAGAGGAAGACTCATTAACAATCTGTGATATGCAGATGACACAATCTTGCTTGCTGAAAGTGAAGAGGATTTCAAGCACTTACTGATGCAGACCAAAGACTACAGCCTTCAGTACAGATTACACCTCAACACAAAGAAAACAAAAATCCTCACAACTAGACCAATAAGCAACATCATGACAGATGGAGAAAAGATCAAAATTGTCAAGGATTTCATTTTACTTGGATCCACAGTCAACACCCATGGAAGCAGCAGTCAAGAAATCAACTGAGGCATTGCACCGGGCAAATATGCTGCAGAAGACCTCTTTAAAGCGTTAAAAAAGCAAAGGTGTCATCTTGAGGACTCAGGTGCACCTGACCCAAGCCTTGGTGTTTTCAGTCGCCTCACATGCATGTGAAAGCTGGACAATGAATAAGGAAGACCAAAGAAGAATGGATGCCTTTGAATGATGGTGTCGATGAAGAATATTGACTATACCATGGACTGCCAAAAGAACGAACAAATCTGTCTTGGAAGAAGTACAACCAGAATGCTCCTTAGAAGGCAGGATGGCGAGACTTTATCTCACATACTTTGGACATGTTATTAGGAGGGATCAGTCTCTGGAGAAGGACATCATGCTTGGTAAGGTGGAGGGCCAGCGAAAAAGAGGAAAATCCTCAATGAGATGGATTGACACAGTGGCTTTAACAATGGGCTCAAGCATAGCAATGATTGTGAGGATGGCGCGGGACTGGGCAGTGTTTCATTCTGTTGTACACAGGGTCGCTATGAGTTGGAACCGACTCAATGGCACCTAACAACAACATGATGATTACTAAAGGGTGATTTTCTAATTTTTTCATTCCTTCCACAGTGACTAGTTGGCTTCCTACTGAAAGAGCTTTCTCATCTCCCTCATTTATCTATTTTTATCAGTGTGACACATAGGTTATTATTTTATTCAAAGGATTATAATCATTTACTGTCATTATTTTCATTTGGCTAGTGGGAACTTCTTCAGTCTGGACCCATTTACTTACTTTATGGCTCAGAAAGATGGTCTAGGCTTCCCTCTTTCTTTCCCTGAGAAATCAACCGTTTCTTCCAGGGGCCGTGGTTCCTTTTAGTGAAGGATGTTATTTGGAAACCAGTATCTGGGTGCTAAGTGTGTCCATAGTTACTGGAGTGTCACTTCTTCTAGAACGTGTTAGGAGACAGAGTTAGGAAATGTGTGTATGTACACATGCACACAGACACACTTATCTAGATTTTCTGTGTATATGTTATTTCCTTTGAGGAAAGAAGTTCGTATCAGTACTTCCAATTTCAATCCAGCATCATGGGGTTCATTTTACCCTTTCACCTTTTCATGTCTGTAAATCATTTCTCTGACACTGAGAAACCTAGTTCCATTTTCCTCAGCATATTTACCTATTTGCTTAATGTAACCAATTTCTGGCTGCTTCCTACCCTGAGGGCAGAGGTACAACAGGTCCTTCGCTAAATCTCCCCTCCTCTCCCAAGGCTGAGAACTTCAGTAGCTACATGCGGTAATCCCAACCCTGCCTCCTCTGCCACTGGGCACTCTGACACTTCTGTGTACCCACCACCTCTCCTTTCCCTCTATGCCTTTTCTACAAATTGCAACTGAGATTATCAGGTTAGCAAAAGCATTTCAAATTTCTGTATCTCTATCAATGTAGTTTAGAAGGTGATGGAGGGAAGAGGTGCTAAGGATGTCCATTCAGTTTCTGTTTTGTGCAAATAGATAATCCATTCACTGAGGTAAGAAACATTGGAAGGGAATATGGTTTAGGGAGAAAACCATGAATTCAGATGTAGATGTATTAAGTTTGATGTGCCATTGAGACAGCCAAGTGGAAACAGCTACTCAGCAGTTAGATATGTAGGTCTGAAGTGTTCACAGTGGTCTGGGTGGAGATATATAGATTTGTCAGCTGCATATAGGTAAGCAAAGATAGGGAAGCCTACGAATGAATTTAAGAAGGAACAGCCAGCTAAGAGAAAAACCAGAAAAGAGTAGAATAGCAGAAGCCAAGGGAGGTACATTCTCAAAATGGAGTGGCCAACTGGGTCAAGACTGAGAAATTCATTAAGGACAGGAAAAACATCTGTTGACTTTCCCTAGATGGAGGTTTGTATGGATTGAATTGTGTCCCCCCAAAATATGTGTTGAAATCCTAAACCCTGTACCTGTGGATGTGACCCTGTTTGGAAATAGGGTTTTTCTTTTATTAATGAGGTCATAACAGAGCAGGGTGGGTCCTCAACCTAATCAGTACCGAGTCAAAAAAAAAAAAAAAAAAGCAGAATAGACCCAGAGACACAGGGGGAAGACAGATGCCAAAGAACACCAAGGAATGCCAAGGAACGCCAAGGACTCCAGAAACAAGGAGTGAGGCTCACAGAAAGAATCGACACAGCTGAGACTCTGATTTGGACTTCTAGCATCCAGAACTATGAGAAAATAAATTTCTGCTCTTTAGAGCTACCCACTTGTAGTATGTCTGTATGGCAGCACGAGGAAACTCAGACAGAATGAACTGGCGACTTTAGTAGTAGTGGTTTCAAAGGAGTGATATGGGCAGAGGTCGTAATGCAATGAGTTGAATGAATGGCAGATGAAAAAGCAGAAAGAGCAAGTGTTTATTTTTCCTGTCAGAGTCTTGGCCGTGATTGAAATAGAGAAGCTGGTAACCAAAAGCGGATACGGGGCCGTGCGCAGGATGCACTGTTCTGTGTAAAGGTCAGGTAGATTGGTGCGTGTGGGAAAGTAATCATACATGTGTTCGCATTACTGTTCCTTGTGATGCTCAGCACTTTCAAAGACAACGCTGAGCTGAAGGGCATCTTGGTGGTCGTCTACTCTAACCTTCTCATTTTATACACGAGGAAAACGAGGCTCAGAAAACGGGAAAAGGATTTGTGCTCAGGTTGGCCTGTAAAAATACTCAAACCATTTTATTCCCCTCAGATTTTCTTTTTATAACCTCCTTATTTCATAAAACAAGTACCATAATTCCTAGTTTCTTAATTAATACTTATAACTTTTTATTTTGCAATCATTATAGACTTGCAGGAAGTTGCAAAAATAGTACAAAGGGCGCCATCTACTTTTCACCTGATTTTCTCAATCGGAAGATCTTGCATGATGACAGTACAATTTCAAAACCAAGAAACTGACCACTGGTTCAGTATTGTTAACTAGACTACAGATCTTATTACGTTTCATCAGATTTTACACGCACTCATTTGCGTGTGTTGTTGTATGCAATTTTAGCACAGGTATAGATTTGTGTAATCACCACCGCAATCATGATACAGAACTGTTCCGTCACCACAAAGGAATTCGCTTGTATTATCCTTTTACAGTTGCACATACCCCGGGCCCCCTCCAGTCCCCGTCTCTGGCAACCATTAATCTGTTCTTCATTTCTATAATGTTGTTATTTCAAGAATATTATATAAGTGGAGTCATACAGTATATAACCTTTTGAGATTGGGTTTTCTTCACTCAGCATAATTCCCTTGAGATCTGTCCAAGTCGTTGAGTGTATCAATAATTCATTATTTTTCATTGTAGAGTCGTATTCCATGATATGGATGTAACACAGTTCAACCATTCTCTTGTTGAAGGGTATCTGGGTGGTTTCCAGTTTTTGGCTATTACAAATAAAGCTGTTACGAACATTCATGTACAGGTTTTTGTGCAGATACAGGTTTTCATTTCTCTTGAGATAAATGTGAAGGAGCATAATTAATGGGTCATATGGTAGGTATATGTTTAACCTTATAAGAAACGTCCAGACTCTCTTCCAGAGTGGCTGTCGGATTTTACATTCCCATCAGCAGTTCATCCGTATTCTCAACAGCATGTTATGATCACTATTGTTTTTCTTTAACAGTTCCGATAGGTGTGCAATGGTATCGCACTGGGATTTTAATTTTTATTTCCCCGATGACTAATGATATTCAACATCTTTTCGTGAGCTTACTTGCCATTCGTATATTCTCTTCAGTGAAATGTCTATTCATGTCTTTTGCCTATTTTCTGATTTTTTCTTTTTTTTTTACTTTGGAGTTTTGAGCATTTTTTACATTTCCTAGATTGGTCAGATATCTGGTTTGCAAACAATTTCTCTCAATACCTTGTCTTTTCCTCGTCTTAAGTTTTTCACAGAGCAAAAGCTTTTAATTTTGATGAAGGCGAGTATATCAAGGTTTTTCTTTTGTGGCTCGTGCTTTTGGGGTGAAGTCCAAGAGCTTATGCCTGGCCCTAGATCCTGAAGATTTTCTCCAATTATTGTTTTCTAAATGTTTTATATCTTACATATAAGTCCATGATTCATTTTGAGTTAATTTTTGTATAAAGTTAAATTTTGTATAAAAGTTTAGGTTGAGGTTCATTTAACAGGTTTTTTTTTTTTTTTTTTGTGTGTGTGTGTGTTG